GTCTGCTGCCCCAAGTGGGTACCCTGGCCAGGAGATGGAACTCATGCTGCAATGGTTGGCAATAGCTTGATAGTGCTGACTTTTAACTCCTGTATACTACCAAAAGGCTCAAACACATTTCATTCCTACCTGGTTTGGGATGGCTATGACCTATTTGCTCTAAACTTGATCATACCAATTGGTAGTCACTGTTGTCTGCAGACTTGTCTATCAAGCCACTGCCCCAATCATGTCTTACTCAACCCACTTCGAAATAATCACAAACCTCTACACAGGTAGAGGCTTGCATACACACATTATTGATCCCTCCCCTCTATAATTAAAAATACCAGATAATAGTTTGCTGATCAATAAACAAAGTATTTATTCAGCACCCATGTGCCAAGCACTGTGCTAGGCACTGTGGTGGATACAAAATTTTAAGACATGGTCCCTGCCCTTAAAGGAGCTTACATTCTCATGAGGAAGACAAGACTAATATACATGTACCAGCTAGGAACAGTACATTATATAATTTGGTGTAAGAGTATGTCATACAGACTTGAGACTTTATAGGGATTCAGAGAAGAACGACAATGAAATAGGACTCAAGAGTCAAGATTACTTGAGGGGCTAAGAACAGGGCCAGGTCTTTAAGAACTAAAGAGACTTAAATTGAGGTCTCTCTTAGGAAGAAGTGGGAGTAAGGTTCAGACGAAGACTAACAGTATTCATTGATGTGGGCCTTACAAAGAAGTTACTGTGGATTTCTGAACAAGGAGTGATTTGTGACCAAAGTTTAACAACTTTACAGAAACTCACAAAAATATACAAGTAGATTAAGGGACAGACATCCTATAGAACAGTGAAAAACAATGGCAGTACCGTGACTATCAACACTCACATGTCAAAGGAAAAGTGCAGCCACAATATAAAATACTGATTACCAAGGGCGTGAGCATTTTAGGAAGTCCCTTACCCAAGAAGCCAATAGCTCTAATTGCTAACTGTCATAGGTCCCAGACACAGGTTTCATTACTAAGATCCAGGACTTGGATGCTCTCTGCAGAGACCACACAAGAGGTATGAAAGATATCAGGACACATAAGAGTAACACAGGAAAAAGAACAAGTGGAGAAAAGAAATAGAAATCCAAAGCAGGGAAAAAAACCCAACCTTTAAAAATATTTATAAAATGTATCTCCTAAGGAGATGAAATTTGCACGTCCATTTTTTAAAAAATGAACCGACTGTATCTTTACAACAAAGAAAATTATGTGTTAGTCAGGTGTGCTTTTCAGTATCACTGGTTAGAATCCAGGAACTCCTTATTTATGTATAGATCGGTAAGTTGGTGACCAGACTACATATCAAGGCTCACGTTTCAGTTTGCTTGCCTTATGAAAAGAGTTGTGTTCTGGAAGAATCAAGATTTAAGAATTAAGCTGGGGATGAAGTGAGGGCTTTTTCTTATGTCTAAGTTAAGTTTTGGTATTCTACTAAGGGATGGTGATTATGGAACCGGCCATCTGTAAGAGGTCAGTGGTTGACATCATCACTGCCCAGGACACTGTGTAACAGAAAGGCATCTCGCCACCAGAAATTCTCATCCCACAAAATCAGAGAACTCAAATTCCCATAACTGATTTGCATTGTGCCATAAATTAAAAAATTGTTTCCTGTTCTACTCAGTCATTAACATGTACATACATCCCTTACTTAAATGAACAGTGAATATATATTAAGTCTTTACCACAAAAATTGCATGAATTAGAAATCTCTTAACTAAGGGAGGTAAAATTTTAAAAACCACTGTAATGAAGTACACTGTAAAGCTTTCTTCAACAAAGACATGACAAAAATTAAGAATCCCATAAGGATTATACATTCTAAGATTGCCATTTAAAGATTTTTTGACCACTTAGGGAAAAAAGCAGTCCCATTAACCCAAGTTCCATAAAATCACAACAATCATATTAGCAGTTAGTGACTAGTGACCTGTAAAATATTTATATTAATTCCATTACGTATGCATACTCCAGTTAAAGATCTTAAAATATCTTTCACTTCACAACCTGAAGATGTCCATTTAGGATGTTTGTGACATTTAATCCAAACCTCAAGTTCACCTGAGGAAAACCTCATACCCTCAAAAGCTACCACTTAATCAAGTGGAATCCCCTGGAAAGTGGTTCCAGGCTGTTTATAAAAACTATTTGAAATAATGTGTTTTTTGGGGGGAGTGTCAATTTTATTCTGGGCTTCTGAAACACTTAAGCAGTGTGAATGCAGATCCAGGGAAGTTAGTACTTAATGAACCAGAAGCTTTAAGTGCTACTTCTGTGGACCCTGTCTTAAGGTAAATCAGGTACTTGGCTCTGCAAAACTTCTTTGCTTTTCACAAAGCAAATGATAAATGTTTACAGCCAAAGACCTGGGAGAGATGTATCCCTACCTAACCAGTACCTGTTCATCTAACTCCAAAGTCAACATGTTTTCCAGCAGTGTGGCAATTACCTGTTTTTCTCCTGGCTCTTGATGGAGAAATGCACAGTAAGCAAGACATTAATTTTGTGTTTATAGCTAACTTTCCTAGAAAAGAAATCTGCTACTACAGGAACCACAATCCCTATCATATGCTTTTTGCAAAACCCAGATGGAGAACAAACTATCAGGACAATAGAAACAAATCTTCCTGCTGGAGTTGGCATTCTGAACTGGTAAAAAGTGTGTATAACACAGTATAACAGCCACATTTCCAATCTTGAAATGAAATTCAGTCCAAAGCTGTGAAGATGCTGGAAGAGCAGGCATGTAACCTGCTTTAAGTTCACACCTTTGCAGGAGAGCTAGAATACATTATCATAATTTAAAAGATCACACACAAAAGCTTTAATTCAGTGAGAGTGAGATGGAATTCAGTTTTATTTTGTCCTCTCTGAAACTTCCATTTACACCATGGCTTCGTCTATCAAAGAAGAGGAAAAAGCTCTATCTTATACCATAGAACTCAAGTACTCAGATACTTGTTTGATAGAGGCGGCAGGGTATCTGCTTCTCCAGTTTTTGGCTCCAAGAGATTACACTTACAGTCCCAGTGTAGTGAGGAACCACTGGCAAACTGCTGGAAATGTCTTCTGGATTGATCAGTGTACCATTTCATAAAGTGCTTCTGGAGTTAAAATCTGTCAAGCTGTCAAAAGTGTCCACACTTTTGCAACACAAAGGATAAAAGAACCGCAATGGGCACATGTCACCGAGTCCTTCCCAGCTGGGTCTTGCTATTGGCACTGATTCCTTAACCACCGAGGCGCTGGCCCTCACCCCAGGCGAAGCCTCCTGGCCGCTCTTCAGGTAGTGGATTGTAATTTGGATCCTCATCTGGTGTATCAAAAATAGCCTTCCTAAAAGACAGGCAACAGAAATAATTTAGCCCCAGACTTTTCTCAGGTCCTAAACACTGATAAGGTTGGTGAAGATGCCACAGGGTTCCCACTAGTGGAGAAGCATTACACCTGCTTGCCAATGGAAGTTACTATACTATAAAGGTATCCATAATTATTCTACATTTATATTAACTTTATCCACCTTTACTAGCTTTTACTACAAAAGTTATAAATGTTAATTGTGGAGAAACAGGAGACATATATCAGCAAAATATCCTATAGTTCCAAGAACATTATTATGTGTTCATTATTCTAGAACCTTCATATATATAATTTTGACAAAGGTTAGACCATGTGACTTGTTTTTTAAACTGAATTTCATTTATCATGACTGTTCCCCCACAACCAAGGTTATCACACAGTACCCACAGATGACTGAATGAATAAATCAAATGGCACATACAATGAATAATTTCTTACCCTTATAAAGAGGAAATTCTGACACACATTACCACACAGATGAATCGTGAAAACAATGTACTAAGTAATAAATTGGTCACAAATGCAAGAAAAATTGTGATTCTATCACCACAAGGAACACAGAATATAGAGCAGTCAAACTCATATAGATAGAAAGCAAAATTGTCGTCAAGACCTGGAGGCAGTAGGGGAGTTATTAAAAAGGTTTCAGTTTAGCATTATGAAGAGAGCCCTGTAGGTGGATGGTGGTGATGAAAGCATATGTGAATATATTTAATGCTATTACACTGTACAGTTAAAATGTGTAAGTCAAGAATATTTATGTGTATTTTATTACAATTAAAATAAAAATATTAACAAATTATTTCAATAAAAATTAGTTCAGGCATAAGAAGAGATAGTAAATGTTCAAAAGACATTTTATTTTTTAAAGATTTACTTATTCATACAAGAACTGGGGTGGGTGGGAGATTCACCAGAGTGGGGAGCAGAACAGGTGGATCTAGTGAAACACACTGCTGAGGGGAGCAGTGGGTGACACAGGAGAGGTCTGCTGTGCTGTGAGTCAGCTTCCTGGCAGGGGAATCAAACTCATGCTGCAGTGGCTGTTGATAGTTTGATAGCATTGTGCCAACATGAAGGTCCCCAAAAGACATTTATTTTTTAATATACTATCACATTTTGTAACCTTAAAAAAAAAAAAAAGATTTATTTATGCATGAAGACCTGGAGTACAGGCTAGAGGTGTGGGGGGTGAGAGGATTCACCAGAGACAGCGTGGGGAGCAGAACAGACAAATGTACTGAAAAACACTGATGAGGGGACAGCGGGTGGGCCAGGAGAGGTTCACCATGCCATATGGGTCACCTCCCTGGCTGGGGATTGAACTGGTGCTGCAATGGCTGCAGAAAGCTTCACAGTGCTGTACCATCAGGGAGGGCCCCCAAAAGACATTTTAAATACTACATATGGTCATTCAAAATGGTCACTCAGAATTAACAATCAAAAAGCAGCATTCTTTATTTGCACTCATACTGCACAAATATTGCTAACTGTACTTGCCCAGCTGATAAAATTAGAAATGTATCTGAAAACTTTTTATTTTGGGAATCAGAAAAGGCATGAATCACTTTAAATTCCTTTGATTAACAATAAAAACAAACACCAAGGGAAATACAAGGTTGAACAGGGAATTCAAATAGGAATCTAAGTGGTCAATAAATAAAACTTTTGCTCTAACAATAATGAAAGGAAACAGGCCCTTCCTGGTGGCGCAATGGGTTAAAGCACAGCACTATGAAGCTGTCCGCAGCCACTGTAGCACCAGGGAGGTGACCTACATGGTGCAGTAGACCTCTGCTGACCTGCCTACTGCTCCCCTCAGCATTATTTCAGTAGATCTGCCTGTTCTGCTCCCTACTCTGTCTCTGGTGGATCTTTTCCTCTCTCACACCTCTGGCCTATACCCCAGTTCTTGTATGCATAAATAAATATATCTTTAAAAAATAATGAAAGGAAAGCATATTAAAAACTGAGATGACCTCTATTTCTTAAACATTAAGTAGGGCACAACAAAGTAGGTATCCATGCAGAGGAGTGGAATCATGGTAGTCCAGAGCAGGATGGGGTGGGGAGAGCAGAGGGTGACAAGAGTCCAATTGGGGCATGCTCTGGTACAGAGCCTGAGAAAGGACATTCCTGTAAGAGAGAAGCCTGACATGAGGAGTCTGAGGCAGTGCAGGATGAGCAAGGTGCTCAGGAGGGGAGGAAGCAACAGTGTTACATATGAGGGGGGCATAAGTACATGTATTCATGACAATAAGAATTATGTTTCCTACTCCTGGGATAGAAAATACTGAAGAGTGTTATACAATGGAATAGTGCTCAGCAAATAAGAAGACAAATTATTGGCACATGCAATGAGGTAGAAGAATTTCGAAAACATTATGTTGACTGAAAGAGCCTTTATACAAAGGAGCATACATACTGTATAATTCTACTCATGAAGTTGTAGAACATACAAAACTTATCTGGAGAGGAACAAAATCAGTAAAATGATAGTCTCCTGGGGGATGGGGGCTAGGATAGATAGACAGGGAACGTATGTGAGGAACTTCTCGGTAACAGTAATGTTTGTCTTGATGACACTTTGAGTTACACAGGTATGTGTGTCTCTGAGAACCTACTAGCTGACAAACTTGAAATTTGTGTATTTTTTGCACAATAAAGGAACCCTTACTAATGATATACATACTAAAGTATTTAGAGAAGAAGTATACTGGAATGGAAAGATCGATGGAGTGATACATGTACAAAAGCCAAGAACAGTAAAATATTAATTGTAGACCCTATGTGCCAGGTAAATGGTGGTCAGTGTACAATTTTTTCCACTTTTCTCTAAGTTTAGAATATTTAGTAAAATGATGGAGGGAAAAAAAAAAAAGCCTAGAACAAATCATGTAGACTTATGCTAGAACAGGGAGTAGTAGCACAAACGAATCAAAATATATACTAATCTAAAAGTATGTGTATGCACACACACTCATATGCATGTATCTAATTCTCTTGCTCTGTCCACTGGGAGGACCTGAAAATACAACACTCCAAAAGGAATGCACACACCTAGCACACCTGGATCTGGGACCCTAAATGCACTCTCCACAAAAAAGAAAACTAGAGCTTCTTGAAGAAATAGCTGATATTTTTGGGTCAAGAAAACACAAGCGAGACCTGGGATATCTTGCTGGACCAGAAGTAATAAGTAGGTAAGAAATAAAAACTGATGGGAACATGCTGAAAGGGACTCAGGAATCAATTTGAAGGGATCCCCACTGGCCAAATCTGGGAGCATGCAAGCATCAAACTAAACAATGATCACAAGGATTATAATCTATGAATAAAACATGGCACCACAAATTCATTATAGATATAAATGAATGAAACCTGATAAGGAAAGCAATATTCAGATAGCCTCAAAGCAGCTTCCCCCAAAATACTTAATTACAAAAGGGAATAAAGGCTACTTTACAGTGAAGCCTACAGGCACATTCATCAAGTAATCATAGTGATTACCAGCACTCTGACAAACTCGATGAACTGAAATCCTGTGTTAACAGGCTGTAATTAGAAGAACGCACCTGAACCTATATGTGAAGGAATATTAGACAAATAGAGACTTTCTACAAAATGGGCCTATCTTAAAAAAGACAAGTTCACAAAAGTCAAGGAAATACTGAGGCACTGTTTCAAATTGGAGAAGACAAAAGAGGTAAGACAAATAAATACAATACTTGAATCTGAACTGAATTCTTGTGTTAAAAAGAACAGTACTTAGGAAAATTGCAAAACTGGGATTGGGTCAAAGGATTAAATCATTTCTTGATTTTAGCTTTGTAGTAGAATGTCTTTGTTTACAAAAGATATCCACTAAAGGGGACCACAGGGCATTAGTCTGATAATTTACCTTCAAATACCGGAGGAAGGAAAAGTCTTTATACTGTCTATTAGTTTCTTAAGTCTGAAACTGTCTTCAGGTTTTACATAAAACATAACAAAACGAAAACCAAAGAAGCAAAACAGAGCCCTCCCTGATAGCACAATGGGTTAAAGCACAGCACTATGAAGCTATTGCAGCCACTGCAGCAAGAGTTCAATTGCCAGCTTGGGAGCTGACCCACATGGTGTGGCAGATCTCTCCTGACCCACCCATTGCTCCCCTCAACAGTGTATTTCAGGAGATCTGCCTTTTCTGCACCCCACTCTGTCTGAATCTCTCTTATCCCTCTGTGAATCCTCTCATCCCCCGCACCTCTGGCCTGTACCTCAGTTCTATTTGTATAAATAAATCAATTAAAAAAAAAGTAAAATAAAAAAAGCAAGGAGACACCATCTTATAGCTCTCAATTATTCTTCAAGTGAGTCCTTTATAATGCAACTTATTCCAGGGACACAAAATTCTGTAGTAGAAGTCTTATAGCCAAAGCTCTACCCTCTGGAAACTTAAATGAAAAGAAGGGCCATGGTTACAATCACCTAGTGAGTCAGTGAAACCACTTCACCTGGCTTGCAGCCCAGAGCTACAGCTTTCCCACTCTACTTCGCTGCTTATCTTTACCATCTGTTTGGAAGGCCAGAAATTTCATTAGAAACTTTTCCCTAGTCCTTTTTAGCCCATTTTGTTACCTCACCTCTCTAAGCTCAGCAGTTTCCACAAAAACAGGGACAGGAGTGCTAGTGGTCACCTGGGACTATACCACAAGCCCCCATGTAGTCCTGCCACACCCCCAGCACTGTTTGCTCCTCGGCTGCAGCCAGACTGATCAATCTGCAAATATTTACTGACCTGAACTACGTGCCAAGAGCAATGGGAGCCCCAGGAAAACACAGATCATGGACACTACTCTGGCTTATCCACAAGGTACACATGGCCTTGTGTTGAATACTTACAAAATAGATGGTGTTTTCAGAATTCTTATTCCACCAGGCTGAATGGGAAATATATCTTCCAAGAAAAAATATATGTGTCCAACTGCAATACCTAGAGGCAATCAGAGATAAAGGATGATGGAAAGGATGAAAATTTCTATCGTAGGTGAGTCCAACATACTCCTTAAGTTTAGTGTAAGTGCCAACATACAGTTATTAAAAATTAAAAATCTGTTGTTTTTTATCCTTTGAGCACATAATTGTCAAATAATCCTGTAATAGCTATACATGAAGGCCACTTAGGTTAAACTAAAAAACAGTGACAAAGTAAGTTCACAAGTAAATAGAAAAAGCAGTGATAAGACTCTTACCCAAGAGGTCCACAATGATTGAATTTCCCAACAACAAGGAAAAGCCCATGAGCACCCAGGGTAGAAAGGGGGCCTGGAAGTTGAGAAGGCCGAAGAAGTTCATGCGGACATAGGGATTCCTCCGGCTCCACACGTAGACAAGCATTATTGTAAAGGCCTGGCCCAAGAAAACTAAGCTCACAAACAAACCGAAAAGCTAGCAAATGGCATTAAGGAAAATATCAACATTAAAAATGTAATGGGGAAGACGGAGCAAGGGAACTAAAGATTGTGTTCTCATCAAAGTTTGAATTGGGAAAGTTGAGCAGAGCTGAATCTTCAGAAGGAAAAGTCTGAAAATTACCATCTGGACTGTAGCTGCTTCAAATCAATATTCTGCTCTCATGAAATTCTTGTCTCTTTGGAAAATGTGTTAATCTAGTACCTACATTAAGCTTCTTTCACTGTGAGCTCAATCACCTTTCCAGAAGTGAATAAAGCCAGCTGGACCAAAAACTACCTTGTCAGATGGGACTACAGTTAAATCTGTTATATAGATAACAATTCTTTAAAAAACAAAACAAACAAAAAACTGATCAGTTTTGATCATGACCAAATAAATATCTTACCAACTTAGTTTCAAAGCCAAGTACACAGATCAACATTACTGCATCTAAGATGCTTAACAGTAACCCACCTGGGCTAAAAGCTCCTTTGACTTGCTCACAGTAGAAAAGCATCCTGTCCAACCTCTAGTTTTAGAAGCTGTCACATAAAGTGTGCTGTAAAATAAGTAGCAGTACTCTGAAGCTAAAATAAGGAGGCCTACTGGTCTCTCTTTGTTCAGAATATCTAGTGAATTGTGGGAGACAGATGAAAAGCTTTTTAAAAAGAGGGTATGTTTTAACGTTTTCTTGTCTAGTTGTTGAAGGATACGGTCATTAAGAATCCACCAAAAAGGAACATAAATACAAAGTCTGCTGTCCGACCTCGGAAAGAGCCTTCTTCTAGCATTCGACAGTAACGATATCTTAAGTTCCAAGTTAAGAAAATGTTAAGCACACAGATATGAAGAAGTACAGTTTAATATTATCATCTGAGTATACTTGAACTGCACATAAGTCAAGCCATTACTTCTGTTTATGAGTATAGTATGTCTACTTCTTTGGTACCAGACATTTCAGGCACAGTGAAGACTGGTTTCATATTTTCCAAAATCTGCTCCTGACAGGGCAACTAAAACAGGTGCTGCATAAACATGCTTCTAGTTACCTATTCAACTTTATCAAGTGTGTTACCAACTCTCCCACATTTAATCACATACTATCTGCACCATCCTCGCTTTTTCACAACTTAACTTGGGAGCAATCCAGGCCAAGCCGCCTTATGTGATAATCTACTTTTCTAGGCCAGGCAGATTAAACATTTCTATACTTCAGTCAATAAAGATGTATTATAATAAAACTTTTTACTAGAAACTTACCAGAATGATATATAGGACACAGGAATCCATCCTAGGACAGGTGACCTGTCATCCCTTTCAAGGCCCTCTGTCAACCAGATGAACTGAACTGTCATTCCCCTCTTAATCCAGAGGATGGGGGTGAAGGAGGAATCCCTTCCTCAGAGGCCCCAATTATCATCTGACCAGCTCTTTCAACAAACCAGATCATCGCAAGCCTGGCAGAAATTATGACATCTGTATTTTCGGTCAATAGAACCAGCAACCAAGATCCAAGGAGATCTCAAATATTCTAATTCTGACTGGCACCACAAATCTGTTCATTTTTACCCAGCTTGTGTTTTATTACTTGGTACCTGATGATATTTTTGAAGTACATATGCCTCAGTTAAATCATTCTCTCCCATTATCAGATTTGTAGTGACAGGGCAGACATGTTATCATTTTGTGGCTAAATACTTCCCACTTGAATGTGACCTATAAACATCCTTAACCATTATTATCTGAATAAGTACTCTAGAGGGGTACCACTGAGACAGTACCCAAAAGTTATAGCTAAGTCAGCAACACAAATAACAGGACTAATCTTTTATTTTACAAAATACAAACACCTAATATTCTTTTCCCTAAGTAAACATAAAATTTTTATGCTCACCCACTTAATAAAGGATACAAAAATATCATGTTAAATAAGAAATTGAATCCAACTGGCCCAAAAAATAAGAAATTGGTGATAAGCCGCCATATCTGTCAAAAAAAAATCAAGAGAAAATAAATTAAATAAGACGTATTACCAGGAACATTTCCATATTAAGACAACAGGGATATCCTATGTTATGAGTATGATGATTAAAAGGTCATGATAGGGCGATACTGTGTTCTGACCCAAAAATCGGTCACCAGATTTTTATGCTGCTTCTAATTAAAGTCTAAAAGATGTCATTTGGATTCTGAAATTTGTAGGGATCCAGAATAGAAACCTTGAAGTTGTTATTGCCAAAAAACAAAACCTCGCACCAGATGGTCAGACAAATTAAGAAAAAGTCTGATAGAAAGACTAGGTTAATTTCCAGAAAAATAGTGCCTTTCTGTAAGCAGTATCACAATGCAACGAGTGATCCTGAAACACCAGAGAAAAAATTCAGGGTCCAATAGAGAAACATTCAAAGCAAAGTGATTCTAACGCAAAAGTTCAAGTTTGAGTCTGAATAACCAATTCCCTATTGCACCTATGCTCTAATAACTATAGATTCTAATTGGTAGACACAGGGACACTTATTTTCATGGAGGAAATGCTAACATATCCTTTCAATGGTAGAACACTGAGCTTTTTATCTCATGTGATCTTAAAAATCCTGAGATAGCAGGCTGGGACTACCATACTTATTTCATAGGGAAGTAAACTAAGAGACTTGGATCATGTTTAATTGACTTGTTCAAGTATGTAGAGGTAAACTCTAAACTTAAATCGAGAACTCGTAATTCCACATGCTGTCATCAAGAGTTGAGCTCCAGGGCCCTCCTTGGTGGTGCAGTGGGTCGAAGCACAGCACTGTGAAAGCTCTCCACAGCTACTGCAGCATGAGTTTGATCCCTGGCCAGGGAGGTGACCCACATAGCATGGTGCACCTCTCCTGTCTTGCCTACTGCTACCCTCAGCTGTGTGTTTCAGAACCTTCTGCCTGTTCTGCTCCCCTGGTCTCTGGTGAATCCTCTCACCCCATGCATTTTTGGCTTGTACCCTAGTTCCTGTGTGCATAAATAAATAAATCTTAAAAAAAAAAAAAGTTGGAACTCCAGGCAAAATAAAACCAAGAATGTAAACAGTAAGCAATACTTGGATGAAGCCAAGGCTCCCAGTAAAGGTTATGTAAATATTAAGGAAGACAGCAACAACAAAGTCCACAGGATTGTTTTATGCATCACTAAATTCTTAAGAACTAATAACTACTAGATTTGAAATAATTAAGTTCTATGCAGTGACTGGACTCAGGATTCAGAGTCTTCGACCTTGGGGGACAGGCACAGGTGAGAGGTTCTCTAAACAAAGTATTAACAGATTACCTAAGGACATAACCTAGGATGATGCTGAGAAGGCTACACAACACAGTCATCTTAAAAGGTGAGCTGGAGGTTAGTGAGTGACCGAAATAAAGCTGAGACAAAATGAATAGCATGTGTAGTCAGAATCATTGGCTTTTGGGTTTCTCTCCCAGTCTAGCTATAAACTACATGATCATCCAGATAAACACATCCCTCTTTTAGCATGCTAAGATTTGGAAAAGACTATATTCCACTATGTTGTTTTAGATGTCTTTTGGCATTCTGGTAGCATGATCTGATCCTTGGAAGATAGATCAATTTAAAAACACAAAGAGAGCTGAGTTTGTGAAAGGATAACACTAAGGTGGTGGTGGGTGTGGCCAGTGGAAAACATCAGGTCATCCTGTAAGACTCTCTGTTGTCAGCTAGCTGGTGGGTCTCCTACCAAACTACAGTATTAACTCTGAACCAGTGATTCTTAAATACAGGGACCGGGTACATCAAATTAAATACCAAACAGAACTGTACAAATAAAAGACAGATTCTTAAGTTTCTATCCTTGGTAATTCTGATTTGGTACATGCAGAGGAACTTAGGGCAGGATTTGCTACTAAAAAGTAAAAAAAATAAGCTAGAACACTGAAACATTAACTGTGGCTATGATGGCCCACTTACTTGAAAATGTTTAAAGATTAATTCAGGATTGAAGTACAACTGAAAGGGTGTGATCAATTCCAACTGCTGAAATAGAAAAAGAGATTCTTAAAGCATACTTGATGGAGAAACAATTTTTTAAAGTTACAACAAAGAATTAGTAGGCCTTGCAATTTCCAACTCAGTCATTTAGGCTGAATTCCTTTAAAGCTTTTTTTCCTTAAACCAGAGAAAGTGCTGGTAAATATTTCCCTGAACTGTTCCAATTCCTGGTATCCTCAAACTTAAGACAAAACAAACACTTATTTCAAACAGGCAAGGCTTGCTGAGGCTGACACGAAGACACAGGAGGCAGATGGGGCTTTCTTAAGACACAGCGCAAGCAAGAGCAGCTGCTGTGAATCTGCCCACCGCACCGGCACCACCTGTAAAGAGTTGTGTGGACCAACATAAGTCACTCAGACGAGGCGAGACTCGACACCCCGTAACGACTGGGCTGGGTGCTTCCAGCCCCAACCTCAGTACCCAGCCTCGATTTCACGAATTTCCTTTGGACAGCTTCCAGCGTTCTATCCTCAAAACCTCAGTTTCTTTAGTAAGCGGCCCTTCCTTCCACTAGTTACCACGGCACCGCTTGCCATTAACACAGTTCTCAGACGGGTCTCCCGGGTGGGAGGCTCCTGCAGTCCTGACTTGCTGTAGGTGGGGCCTTCATCTCAAAAACCGTTCGGCCAGAAGCTCGCACTTGACGGAGCAGCACTCCTCCAGTTATTGGATAAGCTCTCTAGGGGCCATCGCGAACCCCAAAGTGGGTCCTGAATGATTCCACCCACCCCTGAGACCAACCCCTCGAGGTTTCCCGGAGGCCCAAACCCCAGTTTCCTGAGGACCCAGGCATATCTGCCAGGACAGTGAAAAGCTGGCGCTGCAGCTGCTCACCACAGCGGCGGTGGTGAGGACGCAGGCGGTGGTGTAGGCGCGGCTGACCGGTGGGATCTGCAGGTACTCCAGTCGGAGGCTCTGGTACGCCATCTTCCCCACCGCCGCCTGCCCCCTGCACTTCCCCTTCCGCCAGTCAGCCCGAGCTACGGGGGCGGGGCCAATACAGGACCCGCCCGCCAAGTGACGCGGTCGCCCAATCAGAGCCGCGCAACCCGTCGCAGACGCCTCGCACACTTGCCAATCACGAGTTCCTGTCCGCGGCGCTCCAGTCTTGCTTCTCCGCCCACCAACGTCCGGGAGAAGAGTAAATACCGGTTCCTTCCGCCAATCCCAGCCAGCCACAGCTAGCTTTCCCGCCCGGCCCCGTTGGGCCACCAACCTAGGAGGCCCCATCCCGGGCGGAGAGCCAGCCAATCAGGAGTGCGCTCGCCTCCCGCCTTCCCTCCCGTTCGCCGGGGAAGGTATCCGTTGGAATTTTGCCGGGCGGGCGACGCAGCCTATCTCGGGCTGCCAGCGGTGGTTTGAAGGAGGTGGCGGGAACTCGATGTGAGTCAGGCTCCGCTTCCCCGCACGGTCGCTTAGGTGAGTGCCACGGGGCTGCATTTTCTCTGTTGAGGAGCGGGGTGGTACTGGGCTAGGCGTCGTCGAGGGTGTTGGGGCGGCCTCGCCTGCTGGGTGTTTAACCTTTCCCCGGAGGTCCCGGCATGCAGCGGGGTCGCGGCGCCCGATGGGAACGCCCGGCGGCCGGAAGCTATCTGCGCGGCAGCGGCTGGCGCTGATGGTTCGCTCCAGCACTCCTCTCCACAGCACTCCTCTCCACTCATTGATTAAGCCGACGCTTAATCTAGCAAGGAAGGCTAGATGGGTCCGCGAATAATAATGTCCTCAGGTAGAACTTGTCACTACCGGGAGATGTTCTGGTGGGAATTCAGAGGCGCTGGTGCGTTGCGAGGAAGTGTGTTTGGATAGACCCTTGAAGGAATTTTGGCCACTCCATCCTTCCTGGAGGGAAACACCTCGCGCGGGGGAGGCGGGGGGTACAGAACTCGATCTGGTTGAAACCCAGGTGGTTTTCGTGGTAGGCAAAGATAAGAGTGTCGTGTTTTATTTGGTGGGTTATAAGGCAGCCCTAAAATGTATTGAACTCCTGTAGCCATCAAGTCAGGTAGTAGATAAGGAAGGAATCAAGAAAAGGGCCGGAGAAAGTGGCTTTTTAAGGGAAAGTGGGTGGGTAACTTAGAGAAACCTCGAAAGCTAATATGTATGAAAGCTAATATGTATGAAAGCTGATGTACGCGCAACTTGACTGGTAATCGGAGACTGTATATTTATGTATTTTTAGCTGCTCCCCAAATGTCACGCATGCAATCTGTTGATAAAACAAGGCCGAATGTATTGCTTATTTTGGTAAGGGAGAGCACTACCTCAACAGAATAGTGTCTCAGCATCTCACAAGGAAGTATGGCAAGACTGGAATTTTTAGAATTGCAAGTTTGGTTTCAGGTGGGTCTTAAAATCTGGGAACTTGGTTAGGATTGGATAGGGTTTGGGAAGATTGATTAGGATGGGCAGAAACAGCTGATGCAAGGATGTCAGAAAAATCATAGGGTACATATATCTTCCATGCTTCCCATTGAAGCATTGATTCATCTTTTGGGGAGTTCATAATGAATAGTCAGCTCACTTGAACAGTGAAAATGCTCATGCCTCCTAAATTAGTAAACTCATGCTAAGTAAACAGTAAGTTGTATGTGTAGAGGAAGGTTTTATGTAATTTAGTCAAGTGTCTAACTTGAGCATGGGGCTAGGCGGTTTTGGTCGGTTTTCAAAAAACAACACTGAAATAATTTAACATTTACAAAATTGGCAAAAATTAGACTGCTAAATAATACCAATAGAGGTGGTGAAGCTATGAGAAATAAATCCTCTTTTTTTATTTTGCACGTAGGAGTGTAAACCAGTTTTATATACCTTATCTCCCTACCCTGAGAAATTACATATATGTAAACTGACCAGCAGTTACTTACCCATGTAAATGTCCTGCAAGTTCCAGAGGAGACATTTTAGGAGGGTGTCTTTTATTTGTGTAGCAAGGTGCTGAAGGCAAACTAGGTATCTGTCCCAAGAAGGGGCACATTAAGTGGTATACGCATATGATAAAATTGATGGAGTACTTCAGAATGAAATATAAGATGAAGTAATGCAAAATAAAAATGTAGAGTATGATACAAAATTTTCAAGATTACATATTTAAAACTTATTAGAGATAAACAAAAATTAAAGGTGAGTTGAAAGGGCATATGTTGTAAACACTAAGGTAATTTCCTATGGGAGATGGAACACTAACATAAAAGAAGCTAACATGGGCCAAAAATAGTGTGTGAAGAAGTATGAGATATTATCAGCTTCATTGCACTTGTGATGCACTTAAAAAGGATGACAGAGTGGATGGTTAGTAAAAGTTAGTGTAAAGACTCTTGTAAGCCATGTTGAAAGAGTTTCAACTTGATCCTAAAAGCATAGGGGAACATTGAATATATAGAATTATCTTTACAAAACAGAAAAGAGAACGGTTTTATTACTGTTGCTTCATTGATCTGCCTGTTCTGAACCCCACCCTGTCTCTGATGAATCCTCTCTCTGCCCCTGCACCTCTGGCCTATACCCAGTTCTGTATGCATAAATAAATAAATCTTAAAAAAAAAATGTCGGCCCTCCCTGGTGGCGCAGCGGGTTAAAGCACTGCACTGAGAATCTAAAGCCGCTTCTGCATGAGTTCGATTCCCGCCTGCCCCGGAGGTGACCACATGGTGTGGCAGACCTCTCCTGACCCGCCCGCTGCTCCCCTCAGCAGTGTACTTCATTGATCTGCCTGTTCTGCTCCCCACTCTGTCTCTGGTGAAGCCTCTCACCACCCCTGCTCCTCTGGCCTGTACCCCAGTTCTGTATGTATAAATAAATAAATCTTTAAAAAAAAAAAATGTCATCTGTGAATGAGATTACAAAGATAGAAAAATTTCACCCTGGCTATACAGTCAAACAGTTAAATAACCATTTTATTTTTAGCAATTACATTTATAAATTCTCAAGATTAATAGCATCTTGTCATCCCAATTGAAAGATTTGACAACACTATTTGCTTTAAATTCTTTGATAAGTTCATCCTATAGTCATCAGGTAATTGAGTTAGCCATTTGTTCTGGCCAATTGCTTTTATCTGAAGGAATAATATTTTTCTTATTTCTATGCTTATAGCTCAGAAAGAGGTGACTGAGTTTAACTGCCATAGCAACTAGAAGATAGTGCAGTTTTCCAAGATTTTACAACTGAAAGGACTCCTAAACCCTGGAAAAGCATGCCAGGGTTGTACTTAGCTTTGATTGGGGTTTATTTTCAGACAACTAGGTTGGAAAGACTAGGGAATTGAAGCCATTGGCAAGGTGGTGGCTGAAGTGATAGATTGTGGAGCCTGATTGTGGAGCCTGAAATAGATAGGGGAAGGAGGGAAGTGGGAGAGACAAAGAGAAAATAGTTTCAGAGGGCTGAAAGTCTTGAAGATGTGAGATAAGCATATTTAGGACAACTGGAAGAATAGCATATGAAATCAACAAGTAGGAATAGTCAAGGAGAGAAGTTACAAATAGAGGTAGCCAAGTGACTAAAAGGAGGGAGATGAAGGTCATTGAAATTCAAGAAACCTGAATTTCTGGTTCTGTCATAAACTTGAAAGTTGTCTGGGATGGTAAGAAAATTCAGAATGATCCATAGGCCAGAGTTCTCAATAAATGAGAGGTGAAAAGAATGAACAATGAAGAGGGGAAGGGAGTTTATAGCCTGATGGAAAGGATCTCAGAGGCAAGGATGTACATCCTAGTGTTGAATAAAGCTGGAATTTTGTATTGGGAATCGAGGTGCAGAACTCTTAAAATTATTTGCTGCTTTGGTCACATTTCTACCCCCACCCCCCCACAACCCCAATCTGTAATGTGTTTTGTTATTTTCCTCAGATAACTTTCATCTAATGAAATTCTTTCCTTCTTTCATTTACAGGTTTTTTAATCAATCAAAATTAACACAGCAAAATAGTCAAGATGTCTGTTGATCCAATGACTTATGAGGCACAATTTTTTGGTTTTACACCACAAACTTGCATGCTTAGGATCTACATTGCATTTCAAGACTACCTATTTGAAGTGATGCAGGCCGTTGAACAGGTTATTCTGAAGAAGCTGGAAGGCCTCCCAGGCTGTGAGATTAGCCCTGTCCAGATCCGTAAATGCACAGAGAAGTTTCTTTGCTTCATGAAAGGACGCTTTGATCACCTTTTTGGCAAAATGGAGCAGCTATTTTTACAGTTGATTTTGCACATTCCTCCAAACATCTTGCTTCCAGAAGACAAATCCCAGGAGATGCATCCTTGCAGTGAGGAAGAATTCCAGCTTCTCCAAAAAGAAATTGAACAATTACAGGAGAAGTATAAAACTGAATTATGTACTAAACAGGCTCTTCTTGCAGAATTAGAAGAGCAAAAAATTACTCAGGCCAAACTCAGAGAGACATTGGCTCTGTTTGATGAGCTTGAGAATATTGGCAGAGATCACGGGACTAGTGAGTTTAGAGAAAGTTTAGTGTTTCTGACCCAAAACTCCAGGAAACTACAGACTATTAGAGACAATATGGAAATGGAAGGTGAAAAACTGAAAATATCTTAATTTGCAGATAGTAAAAGGAGCCTGTCAGAAAGAGTGGTAAAGGATTTTACGTCAACAGTGATTATTCTTATTCTAGTGAATTGTATATTTTGTTTTCCTTGTTTGCTCATATTCTGTATTTCCTTTTCTCCTCCATGCTTAACTTTCTATTACCCTGAACTAATTATTGAAGCATCTGTTTCTTAGAGGCCTATAGTAGGTGGGAAGGGATTCTTGACTCAGTAACAATTTATTTGTGGGCCTGATTGAAGAAGTAAAGTTTTCCCTGGCCAAAAGCCTTTTTGGAAAGTTGTACCTTGGTCATGAATCCTTTGTAACACTGATGCTTTTGGTTTATTCTTTGAATGAGACCAAATGTGGAAAAAAGGTTAACTGGATGGCTTCTTCATTAATCAGCTCCTATGCTGCATGCCAACTACGTGTTTCTATCCCGTAGCTTTCTTACACAAGAAAGTTGATAACTAGTTGAAAGAAGCATATAGCCAAAAAACAACCAAAAGCGAACCAGGTTTTTTTTTTTAGTGATGAACAACGAAGCAATTTTTATTCTACAGTCTTTTCCATGACCAAGACCTTGAAGTTGAGTATGTTGGAGTGTGGTGTCCAGTAGAAGTCTGAAGACATGAAAACATCTCGCTGGAATAGAAAAGGGACCTACCCATTAGCTAGGTCTATACCAACTAGTTGTTTTATACCATTTTGTTTTTCATCCTTTATTTAGTTTTGGGTCTGTCTTGTAATCTAATATTTAATTTATTTAGTCATTCATCAACATCAAATATTTAGTTCTTTCAGTGGGAACTTTTAGCTATGTCTTGTGTTTAAATTCAATAGGTTCTAATACTTCCTTTTGTATTTAGTCTGCAAAAAGTATTAGATCACCCAGCGAAAGGGGAGAAGTAAAAATAGTTACTCACAGATATTGTTTGCCCTCATGTCTTCCTAGAGAACAGGGTTTGGCATTTTCCCCATGTATAGAGGAGTAACTTCAGGTATTAATTTGCAATTAATTGTTCATAGGTTTAAGAAGCTTGTATTTCCCTTGATAACCCTGTGTATTTATCAGAGGCCTTTCCCCAAACCTATACATTAAATACATTTATTTTAAATTTTTTAAAAGAATTTTGTGCTATCATGTTATTTTCTTCTTCAGTATGACTTTACCCAAATGAAAAATTTTTTGTTTTATCATAAAAAAATTAAGTGTATCCGTCCCATCTCTCTTTTAGACACTCAGTCATCACCAGGCTTGGGTTGTTTCTATATCTTAGCTATTGTGAATATCGCTGCAGTGAACAGAGGGATGCATGTATCTTTTTGAATTAGGGTTTTCATATTCTTTAAGTAAATACCCACAGGTGGATTACTGGATCGTATGGCAATTGTATTTTTAATTTTGTGGGAGCCTCCATACTGTTTTCCACTAGGGTTGCACCACTTTACATTCCCATCAGTAGTGTATAAAGGTTGCCTTTTCTCTACATCCTTGCTTATTTCTTGACTTTTTGACAGTAGCTATTTTTAACTGGTATGAGGGAATCTCTTTGTGGCTTTGGTTTGCATTTCCTTAATGATAAGCAACACAAAACATCTTTTCATGTATGTGACCTTCTGTATACCTTCTTTGGTAAAACACCTATTTAGATCTGCTAATTTTTCATTTGGGTTGTATTTTTGTTGTTGAGTTGCAGGAGTTACAGATTTTGGATTTTAACCCCCTTATTTTTATGGTAAAGCTACAAAAAGGCTTTTATAGCTTCTAGACAAGGGAGATTCTTAACCAAAAACTCCGAAATTGAGGGGCAGTTGAGAGTATTTGAGAAGTATAGGGAAACTAGTTAAGAAATTAAGTGGGCAGTGGAAAGAGAGGGGAGTATGACCAAATATTCTCAGATACTTAAACTTAAGAGAAATATTGGTCTGATCAGACACATGAGGATGATAAAGGGAAAAGGATGGTGTGAAGGTATTGAAAATTTGGTTCTTATTGGAAGATATGGGCCAAACATTGGGATTCAATGGAATGAAGAATTTCAAGGTGCGGAGAAAAGAGCTAATAGGGGAGACTATAGGGATTTAGGTAGAAAGTGGTTAGAGTTTGGGGTTAATTTAATATTGAGGACAGTAGTGATGTGGATGCTGAGGACTGGAATGCAGCATTGGGGAGACAAATTTGGGGTACAACAATGAAGATCAAATGGGCTAGAAATTTAGCAAAATATTGGAACCAATGTTCAGGTTGTAGAAGCAATAAAATATAATTGTATAGCTGTGGGAACTAGATTATTAGAATCTGGGATGGAGAATGGAGACCTAAATTTGATATTACAGAAAAGATCACCATATTGAAACAATGTACCAGTTATTGGACAGAAAACTGTAGTTTTGGGAATGGGAGGGGAGGATTCTATTGGGATTTGCTGAGGGATATTGGGGGATCATATCTTGAGCACTCACCGGAAGGCAGTGAGTGATGGAGAAAACATAGGATCAAATGTATGGATAACACTGGGTCATACATTGTAGCAAACTGACTATAAAACATGGGCTGAGGCTGAAGAACAGTCAGTGTACTTGGCAATCTGTTAAGGCTTTAATGGTGATGAAGGGTTGTGGGAAGACAAAATATGAGGTCCTGATATTGGGGAACACAGCTTATAAAGACAGTTGGGTGAATAGAGGCAAATGCTAGAGCTTGGGGATTGAACCTGGGCATCAGTGTCTTGATAATGGAGAAGAGTGGGGACTAAATGTGGAGGGGCATCGGGTGGTGCTACAATGGAATAGCTGCAGACATTTAGATGATAGTAGAACTGGACAGTGGCATATTATTGGGATTTGATACAGAGGAAGAAGCCATTGAGAGGTGTGTATAGGGAAATGTTTAGGGAAATGGCTGTATCTTGAAATGCTGGATAGTGATACTAAAGAAATCTGTTGTGGAGGGACAGTAGTAGGGCTGTGAAGATCTTAAGGTGAAAGTTGGAGCAGATTGGGAAATTTGCAGTGTTGCTGCATAGTTGGAAATGAAAAGAAGCACATATAAAGGAAAATGAAAACGATTTATTCCATCAGAGGTATCATAACTGCAGACATTTCCAAGTTAAATCTGTGTTAACAGCACTGCGCTTTGACATTTAATATTCATGAACAAACATGGCAGGTGGGTGAATAATCTGCCAGGTGGATATTAGCTCTTTTGGGTTTGAGATGACAAATCCCTTGGGGGTAGGGGGTGGTCAGGTAGCTTTCCAGCTCTGGTGGAGAACAGATTCCCGGCCCCTCCCCCATGGTCTTGGGTCATTTAGCTTCTTAAGGGTCGGGGACCATGATCAAGTCGCCCCGCAGTTCCTAGAAACAGCCCTCCCGCCAACCTCAGTCCCAGAGTTTGATCCCGCGCAGCGCATGAGCGTTTCAGCTCTGAAGCAGTGGGTCCCACGCTGTTCGGGACACAGGTCCAGAGTGTCTCCTAGCAGAACAACTCCAATTAGGGGGCTGCGCGAGGCTTGGCAGCGGCAGCAAATTCTAGGCAGGAAAAAACGAAGTCTGGGTCAGCCTGAACACCTGGCGGCGCGGCGCAGCGCGCCACCCCAGAGGAATCCATTTACCTTATCGGATGCTCTGGACTCGTCTACTGCACACACAGGTCGACCAGTCCCCGCGCTCCAAGTTCGGTCTGCACCAGCCCCGGGGCACAGCTGGCTCCTCCTGGGGGCCAGGCAGCATCACAGGCTCGTGCTGGGCGCCAGCCAGGAAGCCCACCCTCCCCGCGGGGCCCTCCCCGCGGGGCTCTCTGGAAGACCGCGGGGTCGGTCTAGCTTATCCTTTCAAGAACGTTAGGATTGGACTCTGCACAGTGTCCCCACCATGCAAAGCCGTGGGTCCTGGACGTTACCCTAATGGTAAAAGGGGCTCAATGGCAGCTCGAGATTCTAAACATTGATAGCTGACTGCCCCCTCTCAACCTTCATGTACAAATAGACCCACTGTCCATAGCCACAGCTGTTTTGGACGTTCCTACTGATGGACAGTGAGACAAAGGTAGTGACAAGAAAAAGCCAAGCGTCAAAAGCTAGATGAAGAGGGTACAGCGTGTCTCCCAAATACTAAATGCCGAGACCCTTCTCTCCCCTCCCTTCCCCTCCCCTCCTCTTCCCCTCCTATTACTCCCTTTCCTTCCAGTCTCCTTTATTTTCACCCGTAGACCTCTTCCTATTTCACCCTCATTCCTGTCCCGGCATCCCCCGCAGTACCTACTCCCCCTCTCCCCAAAAGTTGCACAACCTCTCGAGCTATAGTGGCCTTAATGCTTTTCTATATATTTTAATTATTCCGAGCATTTTTAATTGACATCCGAGTTTTTTCATCAAGCCCTTTTTAAACGCTTCTTAACCCATTCCCCACCCCCACCCCCCGGGAAAATGGTGGGTGGGCGGGCGAGATGGACAGTGTGTGTTAGGGGTAAAAGGAC